CAGTAAGGCATTCAAAGCCGTGCAATTATTTAATGCATTCAAACGCCTTAAAAAGTATTTTCGTTCATTTCACACTGACTCGAGTTCATTTAACGTATTCACATGCATTAGAAATTAATGCGTGTGAGTTTCTTGTGAGTAAGTTTCTTACGAAACTTTAATCACTTTTCCAGTGAATTGTCACTGGAAACACCAATACGTAAGTTGTTTTGTGCGTTTTTGTAACGAAGAAACGTCGTGGAACGCTTCTCAAAGGCTCTGCAATTAAAAATGACATTAAATTGATTAGGTTACATGAAATGTCGAATTTTAAAACCTCTACCATGGTGTTCGTCTCTCACAGCTGTATTTAGGGTGTGAACGTAGCGTATCGTAAATAGTGCAATTAAATTCCTCTTGCAGCAGATATTTTTCATCCACCGATTAACTCGATGCACACAGACCTATTACACATTCTTAAGTAGACTTGAACATTTTAACAGTTACTTTTTTGGTTACTGTCGTAGGGTAACAGATGACGAAGAATTGCTCGAAGAATACAGAAGAATTTCGGAGTTCGCCCACAGACGCTCGACAAAATCTGTTTGGACGACTGTTCGTCATGTTCTCATCGATTTTCCACTTCGCTACGACCAACCTTAGTTTCTTCACGTGATTCACCATGGTTTAACAATGATCTAAAGCATCTACTTAAAATACGCGATAAGAAGTATAAGAAAGCAAAGAAAAATGATAAATACAGAAAACAGTATGAAGAGTTTGCTTGGGAATTCGAGAAACTCTGTGATACAGCTAAAAAACAATATTATGAGAAACAATCAACTGAATTGAATACATCATCTAAAAAGTGGTGGACATTTTTAAAGCATGCAGTAAATAAAGAGAGTGCTCTGACTATTCCTCCTCTGTTTGATGTAGCAATGAATAATTTGGTAACTACTCCATTTGAAAAATCTCGGGTCTTAAATAAGTACTTTGCTCACATATGTACGTCACTTCCGACTACTTGTTCTTTCCCACAACCTACATCTAGTACGATTGTTATGTCGGAATTTATGATTTATGAAACTGAAGTGTTTGAATCGTTGCTAAAAATAAATGTCTCCAAGCCTTGTGCGCCGGATATTAGTGGGAGAATGCTTCGTGAGGCAGCACCGATTATTACGTCATCCTTGACCCACATTTTTAATGATTCGTTGAAAAAAGGTGAATTTCCCGATGCTTGGAAACTAGGTTATGTTTGTCCTATTTATAAATCGGATGATAGACAACTACCTAATAATTATAGACCTATTACTCTCCTAAACTGTATGTCCAAAATTTTCGAAAGGCTCGTGTTTAAGCATGTGTACGGTTTTCTAAAGAACAATCAGTTTTTCAGCTCTAATCAGGCCGGTTTTATGCTTCACCATTCAGCAGTAAATCAACTAATTCAAATTGTAGATAAAATAGCTAATGCGTTTAACAACAAAAAATCTGTCTTATCAGTTTTTCTAGATTTCAGTAAAGCGTTTGATCGAGTACCACATGATGGTTTATTACTGAAACTGGAAAGTACTGGGTTATCTAAACAATTATTATTGTGGATGGAAAGCTATCTTAGCAATAGAAAAATTATAACAGTTGTAGAAGGCTCGACATCAGATGAGTTACTGATATTTTGGAACCAATATTATTGGTCACCCATAATATTGGGTAATTCATTTTAGTGTTATTTGTGACAGAAATATAAGCATCTAAAAGTGAGCAAAACTGCGAAAAAATAATCGGCTATTGAGTATTTTTCTGCGATTTTAGTCCGTTTTCGATTTATCATATTTTCTCTATAAACTTAAAACTTTTCAAATCCGAGCGGAGTTTGTTTTTGCGATATTTATACATGGTTGGATAGAGCTCGCCGAGCTAGGTCTGAAAAATTTAACATTTTAAAGTAATGTTTGTATTCAATTTTAAGATAAATTTGAAGGCAATTGAAATATATCTCATAATAAAGGAATACTCACTGTGGCTTGTGCTTGAAGTGAAGCCGTTGTTGGAATCTGACGTTCTGTGACGATTGCAGTTCTTCTCAATCTTTTATTTTCTCGTTCAATTGCCGTTCGTTTATCTGTTAATAATTTTAAGATTCTATCAATTTCCCGTGAATCCCAAGTTTTATTTTATACACGTTGGTATCGTTGAAAAAGCATTATTGTGTCATTTCTTTGTAGTTATCATCCTCTTCGTAACATAAATCCTCATTTAATATTTCATCCTTTGTTGTATCAGCTAATGCAACCATTGATCTAATTCCTTGCACTTTGCAAAGCAATTTTACCGGCTCACTGGCTAATTGTTCAATATAATCATAGAATTCCCCTGGTTAGAATACGAAAAAGTGTCATTGGGTAGATCATTGGCGTTTGTTGGTACATGATCGAAACTAACAGAAGAAACTGTTGGTGTTGTTCGAGTAGTTATTGCAGATGGTGATGGTGGTGATGACGTCTTTGAAGCCATAGTTGTCGACTATACCAAGACTTATGTTAAATGTTGAATTAAAAGAATTTTTCTCTTTTGTCAGTTTTTTACTTGTGTTGTATTTCGTGTGTATTTCTCTTCCACTCATCGTGTTGCTTTATATATATAACTGTATAAATATGTGCAAGTGAATAGCTTATAAGCACAGATAATGACACAAGAATGAAAAAGACAGCCGAAGAAAAAAGAGATCTTTATTTTTCTTCATATGAACAAAAGGCGAAAAGCGAAAACTAAACATGAAAAGTGAAAAAAGAAGAGGCATTTCCTTTCTGTTCCTTCTTTTAGTTAGGAATATTGGACAGTGTTAGAAAGAAAGAAAGACATTCGAGAAATATACATGTGAATACACACGCACAATGTCAGCTGAGAAATCTTTATTAAACCATAATTTTTTTCTTTAAGAAAAGTATCGATTCTAAAACACCATACCATTCAAGTTTACTTGCTTCAATCATAACCTTTAATTCAACAGACGCATGAATAACTAAAAGGGGTTGATATCCGCGAGAAATTGCACACAAGAAAAAGGTGATTCAGAGAAGAAACATCACTCCTACACAGAAATCATCCGCCCACTATTGTCCAGCGGTATTTGCACCTCACTAGAGATTTGGTCAAGGACCAAAAGCTCTAGTTGTGGCACCAGCTCATGTTTCATATCAAAAAATAAAAATGACATCCTTCCTCCTTCCTGAAAATAACTTTAGATGAACGAACTGCTAGAGTAAAGTTACAACAGTCTGCTAACATGGTGACCAACAAGGCGAGCTTTAATCGAGCTCCAACCATTATCGTACACTCTTTCCAAATGCCTGGCGCATTTACAGACGATAGAAAAACACACGAGTTCATATTGAAATCAAATTATCATAAAGCGATCATGAGGTATCATAAACAATGTTGTTTACGTCGTTGTGCAGGCGCCGAATCACGGTGTACGAACGTGGCTTTACATGATTATATCATCGGATGTAGCTACCGTATGTATGCCCAGAGTAAGAGCATATGTCAAGATATTTCGAGAAAGTGTCAAAAATAGCTGGTAAAAGAAGTAAAATATCCTGATCAGGCTATAAAATGGGATCCTCAAGAATTATTTAAAAACAGGTGGCTGGCTAGAAGAAAGCAGAGGTGCAACCGGTACCGGTGAAGTATAGCGCCGACCGATATACCGACCAGTTTACCGGTACCGACATGAATTATAACGGCGACCGGTATACCGTGATTAATATGAAGTAGAATCAGTCGGCCGATATTTTGCGGTATGATACGATTTTGCGACAAACGTTTAAATTCAGGTCATCTATGACATATTTCTTCCACTAAAATTTCATTCCAATTACTTAAACTTTGTCGACTTATATAAACTTCTTAATTTAAAAGAACAAATTGGATTGCTGTTTCTGTTATAAAAAGAAGCGTGTGAAAAATCAGCTATACATAATCAAAGTGAAAAGATTTATCTATCTCTTTGATGGCATAAGTAATTGAAGAAGCAAAGAGTAATCAGTTTCTTCAGTTCACATTCTGAATAACTGTAAATAAAATTCACAGTACAGAAAAACAAAAAAGGTATTTTTATTTAAGCAAAACATAATCAAGACAAGCCGGTACCGACCGGTATATCGATGACCGGTATACCGGCCGGTACCGGCGCCGGTATGAAATTTGTATACCGGTGGCCGGTACCGGTATCGCAATTTTGATACCGGTTACACCCCTGGAAGAAAGACTTGGTCACATGGGAAAAGAATCTGAAACAGTTTTTTACTCTCTTTTGCGTGATATGGTCAAAACGTTCCGCGAACATCATCATTTTTTCGCTAACGAATTTTATTCAAACAAATCGAGTTTATATCGGGATATATCTTGTGATTGGGACATAGAACATGAGCAAAACAAAAGTACGTTAGACTAAACAAGTACCCAAAATAGAGTCCTTTCAAAGTATCTCGATGTAAACTGTCGAACATGTAAAGCAACTATCAATCGAGAGCATCGTACTCGGTAACCAAACGACTGCTATTGACCTTCAGATTGTTTCGAATTAACCATTCTTTGTTCTGCCATTATTAACCTTGAATATGTTCCGTCTTTTTGGATGAGGTCGTCATGCGTACCCTGTAATGCCCAATGTTCGATTAAAAGAGTGAAACGAAGCAAGCTTTGTAAGTTCAGATAGTGTACAAACCTCTTCGCTAACTTTACCATGAACAACAACGGCAATTTTTTCACTATTTCGAATCGTGCTCAAACGATGGGCGATCGATAAACATGTTCTTCCAGTTTGAGCTTGTTCAAGCGCTTGTTGAACAATCTATAGAATATAATAGAAATAGAGATGAAATTCGAACAAAGCCACTGAAGGTTTTTAGCACCCACCTTTTCACTTTTATTGTCCAGTGCAGCAGTAGCCTCATCCAACAGAAGAATTTTTGGGTTTCTTACAAGAGCTCTTGCAATTGCAACTAAACATATAGGATACCACATACAACGAATGTGTCATACCGCGAGCATTTTCTTACTTCTTTGCTTCTGGCCTCCACTCATTTGGTTTCCTCGTGCCCCACAGATAGTGTCATAGCCCTAAAATATCCGCAAAAGTAACACGCTTGATAATAGCTCAGAATCTATCATAAGCGTACTTGTGGTAAAGATTTGATGAAATCATGACTATTTGACATTTTGGCAGCAGCTTCAATTTCTTCCTGGGTCACTGCTGTCTGACAGCTTCCATAAGCAATATTTTCTCGAATGGAAAAGTTAAACAAAACTGGTTCTTGTTGAACTAAACCGATTATTGAGGGGGAATTTCACATATTACTTATCTAAAAAAGTTGTTTTTCACGTAAAATAGAATATAAAGAACCATAAAAGTAATTAATCATTCTTCACGTCGTAAATCATGAACAACTATAAGCGAAACCAACGAAGATTCAAGCTTTTGATATCATGACCATCTAACATGATAGCGCCGCTGGTTGTATCATAAAATCTCTCAATAAGAGCTACACATGTACTCTTTCCATTTCCAGACGGGCCAACAAGTGCAGTGGTGCCATTCGTCGCACAACCAAGTGAAAAGTGCTTTAAAATTCGAAATTCCGGTCTTGTTGGATAACGAAATTGAACATCTTTGAACTCAAGAGTTCCATGCACTTCTGGCTAAAAAGTTAGATATCATTCAGTAGAATTATTATAGGCTATAGGAGTAAGTGTCATGAAATCCGGATTATTAAAATCCTTTTTTTTAACCCATCCGAAAACTATTCATCCAGAATCCAACATGTCCGGATAAATCATTTGCCGAACATGCTGGAATCCGGATGACTTATTTCCGGATCAATTTCCCTCTATCAACTCCGATAGTTTCTTAAAAAACCTCTCAAGTCCGGGAAAAAATTCTGGATGAGTTTGTCAGTTGGAATATACAGCAATGCAAGTCCACATGTCATAGAGTATAATAGTAATACTAGTAGTTTCATTATTAAAGTACATCTGGAGTTGCTTCCATTCATACGCCATGTCTGCACACACTAGAGTATCATTCTGTGATGTCGGTCGACTCCTATAGTTACTTAAAACTGTAATTTAGTGCAACTTCGGTTGCATTACAGTAAAATTTAACGGTGTTGTGTTTGTGTCCTATTGTGGACTTACACTATTAAGTCACACTTTACTTACTTGATGTACGATCTAAGAGTGATATACAACTGATTAACAATCGGACTTGTATTGCTTTTTATTGCCAGCGAAAAACTCATACAGAATGTTTTTTACCGGAGTTGATCGAGGAAATTCATCCGGAAATTTTACGGACTTTTAAATCCGAGTGGAGTTGCACGGTCGAGCAGGATTTTCGGATAAAAAGGCATCCCGGACTTAAAAATATCCTGACTTTTTAAATCCAGATTTGATGACACTCCAGGACTATAGTGAAGAATGACTTACTAGTATAATTCCATTATCATCATTTGGATCCATCGC